TTTTTTTATGTATGTTACCGCATAACTTTGGACCACGTCAACCGATTTCGATAATTCTTTTTGCATCGGAAAGGTAGTATCTCAGAGGTGGTCTCATACTAATCTGGTCCGCTGATCGGATCATGAGATATATATATATATATATATATATTTTTTTTTATATGGGAGTTGAAGTGGGTTTTTTTTTGCTAAAAATTACTAGTTATTTTATTACCTCGAAGTATTAATATATACAATGAAGAAAAAATCTGCTTAAAAATAAGTCTCGTATGTGCAAAACTAAAAAGGAGAAGTATGCACTTTGTTCAAAAAAATAAAGAAGCTCTGCTATCCGAAATGAAATTTATTCACACTCCATAAAGTTATTTATAAATATTTTTATAAACATTTTATAAGCTACTAAATAGCCTTAACGCAACAAATGAATCAGAGTGGATTATAAAATGCTGGAAAGTTCAGCTTTTTTATCTCTCAGCAAATGCATATATCTACAAAGGCTTATATGCCTTAAGAAAGGCAGATCAGATATACCATTAAAATTAATGCCACGCCTTATCATACGCTCCTATTGAGACAATGCAAGCAGTTTTGTTGATGTTTATACATTGTTATCTTATTCAGTGGTCTGTTCATAAAAAATGACTCATAAATGCTACTAATTTTATAAAAGTGAAAGTGGGTGAGTGTGTGAACATATTGGTTGCCCTTCCACGCTAAAATGGCTGGACGGATTTGAGTAAAATTTGGCAAGAGAATTGCCACCCTTTTCAACAGTTAAAATCAATTAAGAAGTAAAGTAAATAAAATAATAAATAGTGCAGATGTCAAACAAAAGGGGTTAAAAATGATTCATTTCGAAACAATTTTTTAAGTAGGTTCCAACCTATTCAAAAAAATCAAATTAATATAATTAACAAATTAAAGGAAATATATTAATGTGGGTATCAAACGGGCGACGTTTTACTTTAATGAAATACAACAATATGAATGCCAAACAAAAACAGTACGAAAAAAGCTTCATTATAAAGATTGTTTCGAGTAGGGTGTCAGCCATTTAAAAAATTTCATTCAAGTGATCATTGGCAAAGTGGAATATATTTCGTCTTTACATAAAAGATAAATTATATATACCTACAGCCCGCGACAAATGATAGCACATCAACATTTTTACCACTTTTGAAATCTTTTCTTTTACTTTTTTTAATGTTCAACAGCCTCAAGCTCAATAAAATTGTTAAATATAACTGTTATGAGGCCATAAAGAACAAAAAAAACAAACATGTTCATTAAAATTTTATTAAAGTTCAGCTCTTTATCTCCCAAAAACCATATAAATCCATATATCTCAAACTTTGTACAAAAGTTTAAAAAATTGCTTAAATATTTCATACCAATTCTTAATATTTTAATTAGAATTTCTTAATTAATTTTATGCAGTTGTATGACTTATTAAAATATCTTATGATAAAGTAACAGTTTGAAGTTGCTTAGAAATCTCATTGATTTTTGAGAATTATTTTTCTGGCGCCGTTTATGCACTCTTTTCCATATAAAAAATTACTTTGTATGGAAGAAAATGCGTGATACCGTCAGCAAAAAAAAAATATCAAAAATCAACGAGAATTTTTAGCAACTTCAAAATGGCACTTTATTTTACTAGAATTTAATAAGCTCTAAAACTGCATACCAAAAATTATTCTACAAATTACAATTAAAATGCTTGGAATTGGGAAATATATATATATATTCGGACGAACTGATAACCTCATCCTTTTTTGGAAGTCGGTTAAAAATAGGGAAAACTGTTAAAAATGTTGAGGTGCTATCGTTTTAAATGGGCACCCTGTAAAAATAATTTGCAAAATTTATATTAGTTGTGTTTTTACACTGAAATGACCAATTTAAATAGTTAAAATTCGAACCCCCTTTTATGTGCCTTCTCGTTGACTTCAGTCTTTAACCTGTCTGATCCAATCAAACTAATTTACTTGAAATTTTTTTTAATCGAGAATAATTCATTCAATGTCCAGACCAACAATCAAAACAGATCTTGATCGATATTTATAAATGAGAACTCAATTTAATTCGAATATTTCCTATGCCAACGCCCTATTTAAATACACACAAAACCATTGCACCCGGCACACATTTGCTATCCTCCCATTCAGTGTCAGCCATTTGTCGCAAGTTCAATTTCGCGTACCAAATCAAATGCCAGCCAATATAGGCAAAACATTTTGAGTCACGAAAAACATATTTAATTACGAACTAAATAATGAACGATAAACAAACTCGTATCGCAAATGCCACCAAGTTATTAGTTAGTTAGATTTTGTTTATGATTATTTATTGCCCGAGGAAGCCGTGCTCCTCAAATGCACATCGCGGTGTCACTTGGGTTAAATATTTAATGCTTATCAGCTGGCGTGACAAGTGCGCTTACGCTGAGACGAGACGCTCAAAATAGCAGCAAAAGCAACAACCATAACTTTGAGATTCAACAACAAAAGGAACAGCGACGTTTGAATGGCAACACGAGCGTGAGGAGATAACTCTTTTGTGCATGTGTTTGTGTGTGTGCAAGTATGATTGTAACACCCGAGGTATTGCGGAGGCGCGCAGAGTTATGGCGACCAACGCCGGCAATGCTGATAAGATTCTATAAAATTTTCTGGCTTGCAATACAGAGGTTAATATAAACAAAGTGCGACTTATCTCTGTTGTTGTATTTTGCATACAACAAAAATCAGTTAAGGCATACATGTATATACATAATTTATTAATTTACAAAAAACTACACGGAACTTAAAAAATACAGCATCAAATTATGTTTTTATTAAAACGCAGTAAATCATCCGCGCGTGCGTCTGGCGAACTGCGGCTCCCATCGTCATCTTTTCAGATGCTGGCTAGCCCTCAGGGCTTCTCTGCTTCTTCACCATTTGCACCCTCTGAACCACCGCAGCCACAAGCGGCCGACTTCTTCTCGCTTTGTTTGCTGTCTTCGTTACTTTTCGATTCGTTTGACTCGTCGGCGGCCCTTTTGGATTTGCCACAACCACAATCTTCGGATTTCTCACCATCTTTGTCATGTTTCTCATCACTTTTCTTGCTAGAGCTGGTTGCGTCACGTCGTCGTTTCAGCTGGGTTAGAGGTTCGGTTGCCTCAGATGATTCGTTAGCATCTTCAAATAGTTCATCGGTTGCTTCGCGTGTATTGTCCTCCTTGCTTTGCGCAGAATTAACCACAGCAGCATTTGATAATTCAGCACTCTCATCACTTTCCACCGAACGTTTGCGCCTGTCTTCAAAGTAAGTTGTCTCGTTTGCTTCATCCGAATCCGCATCCATAACCTCACACCCCTGCACGTAATCTTCTAAAGATGAATCTTTTTTCGATTCAATTACTTCATTGTCTTCGCTATTTTCGGTAGACTCCGAATCGATTACCACGTCACCATTGGAATATTCGTTGCTCTCCACAGAAATCGTATTCTTCTCGGCTTTTCGTTTTCGACGTGCACCATCTGATCCCTTCGCTGCTTTGCTATCACCTTCGCCTCCGTCAGAGCCTTTTTTGCCCTTCTCTTCTGACGAATCCTCCTCTGAAGAACTGTCATCGGCTTTCCGCTTTCTGCGCGCTCCGTCTGCGCCTTTAGCCCCTTCTCCTGCACTTGCTCCGGGAGCGCCTGATTTGCCTTTCTCTTCAGACGAATCCTCCTCTGAAGTACTGTCATCGGCTTTCCGCTTTCTGCGCGCTCCGTCTGCGCCTTTGG